TTTTTGAGATAGGGTCTCCCTATGCAGTTCAGGCTGGCCTTGAGCTCACTTTGTAGCCCAGGCTGATCTCAAACTCACAATGTTCCTCCTGTCTCAGCCTCCTGAGTACTGGGATTACAGGTATGTGCCACCATGCTTGGCAACTGTGTCTTTTACTGTAATAAATTAAAAAAAACTTTAAAGGTTCACTGCACTTGTTTATCACATCTTATAATAATATCAGGTCTTTCATTTGTAAAATGGAACAGTGCCGACTCTCTAAGTTTGTTATGAGAAAACATTTAGCGTAGTTGCTACACTCAGCTCATACAGTGTTCAAAGCTGTGCCTGAGGCCCTTGGTCAAGCCGCTGGTGGGGTTGAAGAGTTAGGTCATGTAAATAGAATCACAAGTCAGCGCACAATCAGAAGCGTTAGGATTGAGCATTCTGTGGTCACATTTCCATGACATTCTTCATTCATGCACAACTTGCAAAAACTTTTACTCTATCCTTAGAATGATTGAGGATCTCTCGTCTCAACTCTTCGGTGGTGCTCGATTACTACGGAGGTGGGTGTGTCTTGCTGACTGTTCCAGAGCACATGGGCTTTCGCCTCTTTTCCGGGATGCTAGATTATCAGGGACCTGGCTGCCTGTATGAGGGGTACAGTGAAGGGATGAAGTAAGAAATGGACAAATTCAACAATGCATGAAGGGGAGCTGGGAAGTCAGTGCCTCAGGATGGACAGAGGCGAAGGCATTCAAGTAGCCAATATTTATTGGGTGCGCACAATGGCAAGAGGGGCATTGGAAGACTCAGAAGTTGATGACTCATTGGGCAGCAGATTACAGAGGAGGTGATCTTGTACTAAGGAGGATCTTGCCCTGAAGTGTTTTTAAATTTTATTTATTTATTTATTTATTTATTTGGTACAGGGTATTGCTACGCAGCTAGGACTCATAGTGATCCTTCTGTCTCAGCCTTTGCAGCACTGGGATTACAGGTATGCTGCACCATGCTTGGTGGCCAGCACAGTGTGCCTGGGGTTTGGGGGCCAGCACGACATGTGCTACCAGGGATCCAACCCAGGTCCTTGCACTTGCCAGCAAGGCACTTAGACTGCTGAGCTATCTCCCGGCTTTTTTTTTAAGTCTTGGTGGGAGATGGCCCACCTCTAAAGAGATAATAAGAAATCTCAAAATGGTGAGACCGATAATCCCAAATCTCCATTTATCTCTTAGGGAAGTGTGTAAAATTAACCATTGTGACAATCTGTGGTCCCCAACACTAGATTCTCGTGCACATTACAAGATCAAGGGCTGTCCTTGAACTGTTGACTCTGACCTTTGCTGACTCATATGTCTCTGTTTTGTGCCAGTCACAGTGGTTAACAGGGGAGTTTAGTCTTCATTGCGTGTTGGACAGTAGCTCAGTACTTTCCTGAAGGAGATAGGGAGGAGGAGCTCTGATTGGGCCCCAGGGACTCTCAACCTGGACTAGGAACCTGGGGCGTTCATACCTATTGCCTACAGAGGGCGCGCTGCCGATAGTTGATCTCTGCTTGGGCTGGGTGAAAGCATTTAGCTTGAGGCCTCAGTCTGCTGAGACCCAGCAAAGCAAAGACAATGGTGAATGTCCTGTTCCAAAATTAGTCTGATTGTCTTTCTAGGGGTCTTTTTCAAACAGTGCCCACGTTCCTTATCCATCTGGCATAGTCAGGAATGATACTAGGATCCAAAATACTTTTTAGGGTGCAACAAAGATTTAATTGCTTTTAAAATCAGAAGTGAAGTTAGGTGGCGTATTACCATGTTAATCTTTATAGCAACACAGACATAACATTTGGTGCAGGAGGGCTTCTCACCATGGCAAAAGGGCCCAAAGCCTAGAGAGTTCGTACTGTGGCCCGCTCCTCCCCGACTGTTTTGTGGCCACTCCGAGGGCCATGAAGGATGGGAACAGTTCCCTCCCAGCCCTGTCTTAATTCTAGGGGATCCTCCCCAACCTGACCGTGTGTGCTCACTGGGCCTGTAGAACAACACCATGGGGCAACAGGGAGCTTTTCCTTTTGTTCTCCTTAGCCTGCCCTTGTCCCGGGCACCCCCATGCCCGCTCCTTCCTTGATCCATCTTCTTCCCTACTTGCTATATTGGTGCATGTTTTTTTGGTACCAGGAATCAAACTCAGGACCTTGCACTTGCCAGGCAGCCACTTGTACCACTGAGCTGTACCACCAGCCTTACTTACTATGATAGCTCTATTGATGGAGAACCTCCAAATGATATAAGGGCAATGTAACTCCCAGCTAGATGTCAGATACACTGAGTCCATGGCCACCAAAATTGAAGAATGAATTCTACAGAACAATGGGGATTAAGAGTAGGAAATTTTGTTGAGGGACAGACAGCTCCTGAGTGAGACAGGAGGAGACCTAGAAGATGGGTTGCCAATGAGCACACTTCTCAAAGGAAGTTTATAGAGCAAAATCACGAGGTGAGTACAGCATGGGACAAAACTATGATCAACCAATAAGGTTCCAAGTACAGCCTCTTAGGTAATGTTGATCCAGTGGGGAAGCAGGTCACCTAGCGAGCGTGCATGGAAAGAACAAGGACCTTTTTTGAAAGAGATGAGTCAGGAGGTCCTGGTCACCCATTCAGGTGGCTGATGCCTATCTAGACTTTATTGGACCAGGAAATAGCCATTATAATTTGTTGTTTATCCCCCAGGGAGGTATGTAGGCCCAGTCATTCCATCTTTATCTTTTTCCATCTTCAGCTCGCTCTTTTTTTTTTTTTTTGCTACTGGAAATCAAACTCAGGACCTCATGCCTGTCAGGCAGGTGCTGTGCCACTCAGCTAAGTCCTCGGCCCTTCATCTTTATCTTGAGGCCAGGCCTTCAGTGGATGCGCCTCCAGCCACAGTGCTACTGTGTTTTCATCTTCTGCATGAGTCCTTTGGGGGCCCAACCCTGTGTGACTGCCTAAAATATATCTACCTAACTTAGCTCTCTGTGAGACTATGATGACAGAAATGTATTGGAATTGAGCAGAGGTGAGCTGGGGTTGCCTGCTTTATCTCAAAAAGATTTTGGACATGAAAATTGTACCTTACGTACCTGCACAAAGAGACCTACCTTCGCTTCAAAGCCTTATCCATTTTTCTTTATATCTATATTTAAATTGCTACAAAAGACATTGTGCTGAATATCTGTGGGTGAAACACATTTTCTTTGTAGAAAAAAGTTCAACAAATTGGCTAGAAGTGCAGTGCAGCACTGAAGCAGTTTATCTAGCATCCACGAGGCCAGGGTGCTATTTGCAGCAGCGGCAAAAACACAAAACGAGACAAAGCAAAACGTCAACAAGGAAGATAACTAATAGAAGTCAGTGGTGAATCTTTTAGATGGGGAAATTTTCTTTTGAATCATAGTGATCCACATATATTGAATACTTACTGCATGTCTGACGCTATTCTTTTTCTTTTTTTTTTTCTGAACCAGGGATTGAACTCAGGCCCTTGCGCTTGCCAGGGAAGTGCTTATTCTACTGAGCCATCTCCCCGGCCCCGTGGCACTATTCTTAACACTTTACACAATTGCTTAGCAGGTACTACTATTGTTTCTACTTTATAGATAAGGAAATGGAGGCATATATATATATATATATATATATATATATATATATATATCTCCAGGAATCAAACTCAGGGCCTTGTGATTGCCAGCCAGGCACTGTGCTGCTGAGCTATATCATCGGCCCTTTTTAGTTTTAGCTTTATGTCTTTTCTTTTCCTTTCTTTTTGAGGCAAGGTCTCACCACATAGTTCATGCTGGTCTCAAACTCACAGCACTCAGCCTGCCTCAGCCTCCCACGTGCTGCAATTATAGTCATGTGTCACCAGGCCCAGCTGAGATTTTTAATAACTTATACAGTGTCACTCAGGTAGAAAGAAGGTAACAGACTAGGGATTCAGGTGAAATCCATACCCTACTCAATACACATGCACATATGTGCACACGCACGTGCGCACGCACACACGCACACACACACACACACACACACACACTAACACAACTGCTTAGTTTTCAACTTGTTCTGCATTGCCAAAGATCCCTAAATAATAGAATCAAGTTCTCATCTATAACAAAGCCACCTGGATTAGAAAAGGGGCTGTGGAATAGAATGAAAACTATTTCTGTATACTTATTATTTGTGAGGTAGTTTCCTTAATACTGCAGGTTACATTTTAGCCTTCTCTTGGTCATAGCTTTTGTGTTTTCATAGCTATAAAAGTAATATAAATGTCATAAGAGTTCAGACAGTACTGTGACATAAAGCCCAGTTTTATGTCCATTATACTCTGAGGGAATTATTCTCTCCTATTTTATTACATTTGTAAATTAAGTCACTGTACACTTTAAAAACAAAACTACACAGAAAGAAATTGGGGGTTAATATTGCACAGAGAGTAACAGCTCTCTCCCTGGTGCTTTGGAAATGGGCTGGCTCTGTTTTATCTGCTGAGATCCCTCCCCAGGAGCCTTATTTTGCCACTATGTGGCTGTCACAGGCCTTTCACTGTTACCATGGGCTGGTTGGTCTTGGATACGGAGTCCACCAAAGCTCCCACTTGTGAGTGTCACTAGCTCACTCTCAGGCTTCCAGACACCCAGGGTGAGAGGGAGGCAGATGCCAAGTGACCAGAGGTGCAGAACTCAGTGCACATCGTGCAGACAGCGGGCAGGAGGGCATGGGAGGGTATGCCTGCTACGGGAGCCCCCTGGCTCTTTGACTCTGTCACATCCTATGGTGTCGGGTCAGGATGCTAGTGTGTAGTGCTCTGTTAAGCAAGATATAAGTTTATGGTCTCCGGCCTAAGTTCCCAATGTGCCCCATATTATTTTTTTGGGGAAGGGGGGCTTTGCCTATGACTAAGAGTGTGCATCTCTTGCTCTATATTAGCCCAAGAGCAAAGCCCATTTCTTCCCCTCTTTCAGGAAATCTTCTCTTGCTTTTAACGTACAATGTACATAATTTGAACTGTAAGATCAGCTTCATTTCTATGACAAGCTTGACCTAAATTTTTTCTCATAGTTTTAGTGCTGTCGCTTGGATACTTGTGACAGGTATATTCTGAGCCTAGCCTTTTCCACAGCGAGTCTCCCGGCCCAGTTCTGCCCCCTCCCCTCTACTTCCCCAGGGGAAAGAGAACCTGTGATTGGGCTGCAGGAGTCCGACCTGGCAACAGGCTGCACATCAGCCCTATTGGACGTGCCAGAGGTGGAAAACCAGGAGTGGCTACGCTTGTGTAACCTCGCAGGTGTTGGTATCTGTTACCAAATACTGAAAGAGAAGCTGGCTCCAGCTGATCACCATAAAAGCTTTCCCAACCTCCCTTGGCCTTCCAGAAGAAGCAGAGCGACCTGATCCACATGCTGAGGGAGCGCAGGAGTGGCTGCCTGAGTAAGCCAGGCGCTCTGCCAGAGTGACCGCCAAAAGCTACAGGTGAGTGTGTTGTTTTAGGAAGCCAAACGTACGTGGGGACAGCTTTGCTGGCATCTCCACACCAATCTCCTGTTTGAGGAGTAGCTTGGCCAGAGGATGCTGGGCTCCCTGCTAGCAACCTTCAGAGTCATTAGAGGGCTTCCTCCCTCCTCCCAAGCGGGCAGAGTTTGTTTGCTGTTCTCCTGAAGCTAAACAGTAGTTAAGCGGTGGACTTATTGGAAAGCAGTATTATTTTGAAATGAGGTTTGGTTTCCCATCAGTGACCTGCACAAGGGAAAGCCCTGGTCTGCGCCTGGCTCCTGGAGTCACAGCCCTGTCACAGCTCGGAAGGCTCCCAGTCACCGGAGAAGCCTCCAGGGGATGACAGCATGTCGGCGTGCTGGCTGTGGTCGGGCCTGCTGTTTCTGCTGGCTTTTCTCTGCCCTCCAAGTTCATCATGTGGCCTCTCGACACATGTAGAAATAGGTGAGTTCTGGGGTCTTCTGTTATTCTCGGAACAAGAAATCTGTCAGGAGACATTAAGAGACTGAAAAATCTGTCTCTTGTATTGCTACAGTTTTCCCTGCTGGGCTGAGCAGGCTGATAGTGGCGAGAAGCAGCCATGAATGGGGGCGGCAGGGATGGGGAAGGGCAGATGGGCTCGGGAGGGCCCAGCGAGCAGGACAGCTGCTGCACCCTTGGCTGGGGGGTGGCTGGTGTTATTCCAGGTGGGAGATGGTGAGGAGCTGGAGAGAGGGAGGCTGCAGCCAGGCAGGACTGGAAGACGGGGAGAGGAGGTGGGAGGAATACATGGGAGGGAGTTTATCTGTGTTGCTTTACACTTCCAAGGATAGGCATTTGTGTGTATGTAGAGGGCCACGTGTGGTCAAGCCACATGTGGTGGGGGGCCTATGAGTCAGGTGTTCTTAAGGGTGCTCAGCTTCAGGGGAGTCAAGGAAGCGAGGGAGTGCAAATGATTGTGGGCTTTACAAGCAGAGCAATGGCAGGATTTGGGTTGGGCGGTACACAACAGATGCCACCAACCTCAGGGGCGAAGGTAGAGTTACTCTGGTATGGGTAGGTGGTAGCACAGATACTGCAGTTTTAGAAAACTTATCCAGTTTTCTTGAGGTATAATTGACAAAAATGAATAAATTTATGGTGCACAACAACATGAGTCAGCCCTGTCCTTCTTTTCTGTCCCCTCCCCCATTCCTTCTTCCTATTCATCCATCCATCCATCCATCTGTCCATCCATTCATCTGTCCATCCATCCATCCATCCATCCATCCATCCATCCGTCCGTCCGTCCATCCATCCATCCATCCATCCATCCATCCATCCATCCAGGGGTTGAACCCATGATGTGCTGAGCTTCATCCTGACTCTTTTTATTTTGAGGTGGGGTCTTGCTAGATTGCCTAGGCTGGGCTCAAACCTATGATTTTCCTGTCTTGGCCTCCCTGGCAACTGGATTTATAAGTGCTGGCCACCATGTGAATGTAGCATCTTATGTAATGTGTGCACATGTACACACATGTGCATTGCAAAATACTTACTACAGTCAAGCTAATGAAAATATCCATCACCTCACATAGTTACCATTCTTAGCATATGTGGTAAGAACAATTGAGATCTCTCTTAGCAAAAGGGTTTGATTCTTGAAAGAATCCTGATTTGTGATTATTTTTTGCACATGCAAAATGCAAGATAATTTACAACATAATATTCAACAATTTTAGGTTCAGTTAAAATATAATTTTTAAATAAAAGCAATGGTATTTTGTAGTTACACTGACTTTAGGAGTTACAAGATTTCATAACAGGATTGCAAATAAAATATGAAAATTTGTCAGTACAAATTATATGGCAGGCCAGAGCCTGTGGTCAAAGAATTTTAAAATAGGAGTGGATATGAGAGGTCGCTGGGCCCATTTCTTTTCTTTTATAGATGAGGGAACATCCAGAAGAGTTTCACAACTAAGCTCTGAGCATGCTGGCCTAGAGTCACACCCCCCTTAATAGTCCAGTGGTTTTTTTTCCCCCATTAAACAGTTGTTGCTGAAAGGGAGTCAGGAAGCCATGAGAAAGAAATTCAGATCTATGTTCTATACCAGCACCATTATAAATATGTGTGACTGAGTGATTAGCTTTACCCCTCAAACTTCTTTAAAGGTAAAACTTCTGAAGGATTTCTGCACCATCTTCCTGCTCTAAGTCTTATATAGTGGAATGGCTGAAAACATGGAAGTACACCAAAGAGCAACAAATGCCCAACTTTTTATTATGTATTGTAGCTATTTAGGTATTTCAGAGTATACCATATTCCTAGTCCTTTATTACTGAGACTGACTCTTGGTAAGTCTCTAAGTTGCCCAGGCTGGGCTTGATTTTATGACCCTCCTACTTCAGCCTCAAGAGTACTGGGATTATGAGATATGCCATCATGCCCAACCTCAACTTTTTAGATTTTTTTTTTACTGTACCAGGGATCAACCTCATGACCTTGCATTTCCCAGACAGTAGCTGTGCTGCTGAGCTATATCCCCAGCCCAGCTGTATCCCCAGCCCCTCAACTTTTTAATCATTATGAGTTTAAAACTTTATGAAACAGGTACTTTTCTTTAAGTAGCTACTAAACCAATATCCTAATGAATATTTAAGGATGCCTATGTCTACATATACATGAGAACATAAAGGGAAATCCCAAAATAGAACATACAGATTCTGAGAAAATTCATATAAAAATAAAACTTCAGCATTTGTTCACTAATAACTTAGATGATGTATAAATTCTAGGTTCCTCCCACCGCTGGTACTGAGTACTGAATGCAGGGACACTACCACCAAGCTCTATCCCTAGCTTTTAAAATTTTTTTTTTGAGTTAGGGGCTTGTTAAGTTGCCCAGGTTGGCCTTGAACTTGCTGTTCTCCTACCTCAGTTTCCCAAGTAACAGAGATGATAACAGGTATGCACCACCAAACTTGGGGTACTTTTTCTTATGTGGGATATGTGTGAATGGTTGATATTTATGTGAATTGATTAATTTGAATAGGTTTCATTCCATGGTTTGGGTCTGTAAATCAATTTAATCCCAAATATAGATTCCCTGTGTAGGGTGTACCTTGTCTGATATGGTATTAATTCCTATAATATAGGACCGGCTATGTATATTGTATGGATTTTAGAAATAGATTTGGTTCACAATAGAGTAAGGTGTCTTCTCAGAATGTCTCTGCACAGGAATGCTGGTCCTGCATCTTCTGAGAAGGTTCAGGCTCTGAGCCTGCGTGAGTGGAGAAGGTGGCCTCTGAGATGGTCTTGTCACCCCAGGTGAAAACAGACTTGGAGACCAATGTTTAGACAGTGACTTAGGCTTCAGGTTGCATTTCCTATTCTCTACTCAATTTGGAAGCAAGCATGAGGGCAGGTTGTTTCCTGAGCTCTTCCTGGGTGTTAACCTCTGTGCTTGCCACTTAGTAATTATTCTCTGTGCTCTCAACAACTGTGGAAAGTCGGGACTGTTTACTTAATTTTATATAGGAAGCTGAGGCCTAGAGAGGGTAAGCAACTTACTTAAGGTTGTAGTCCTAGTTAGGTCATTGGGGAAATTTCATTTGTAGTCTAGTAATATGCATGTTGTATAAACCCAACTATGCCTAGGAAAATTACAGGTAAGTTCACACTTAGTTTTCATGTCCTGCTTCTTTGTTGACAACTGCAAAGTTATGTCTCTGCTTTTTATAATGATATCTAGTGGTTAGAGTTGGACTTGACTGACTTGTGGATTTGTTTCTTCCAGGACACAGAGCTCTGGAGTTCCTTCAGTTCCCACGTGGGCGTGTGAACTACCAAGAGGTCAGCTCTTCGCCTTCCTTACTTCCCTTCTGCGTTAGCTTTTCTTAGTAGGTCCTAGAAGGGTCAAGCTAATTTCAGGAATAATTTTTGTGTCCTTATAAAACTAATATTATGGTTCAAAGATAGTTAAGGTATGACAGAAGAATATGGTGCATGTTTATATTAAAAATATATTATAGTAAGAGACACATTCCCAATAATCCCCCTCACAGTGTCCTCCTGAATACACTTCTCCCATTGTTCTTGCTGCTTTTTGAAGCAGCTCTGGAAGTCTGCTGTGGGTGTCTGGAGTCGTGTTATCATGGGTGACTTGGTGTCCTAAATTGATTGGAAAGGTTTTTACCTTTCATGGTCGTTTTGTCTCTAGAGAAGAGCAACTGGCGCTGGGCTAGCGAGTAGTCAATGTGTTCATCTGATCTAGTGACTATGGTGGACAAAGACATGTGGCAGTGCTCCTGCAAGCCTGCCTTCTTCCGGGATGGTGCTTTTCTGCAGCATTCATTGAGTCATGGGTCCCACCTTGTAAAGTCATGAGAGGAACTTCCGGGATTGCTTCAGAAAGTAGCAAGAATGGTGCAATGAGTGTGTTCAAAGCTAGAGGGAGTATTTCAAGGGAGATAGTGGCAATGTGTCTCTTACTCTAATAAACTAAAAAATGTAAATAGTCACTGTATATTTTGATAAATGTAATCAAAATATATTGTGTCCCAATGCTACTTGAATATTTTGTGTATATAAATATTTTAAAATTTATTATTTCAGGGGCCGGCCAAATAGCTCAGCAGATTAAAGTGCCTGCAAGCAGGCATAGAGGCCGGGTGTTCGATCACTGGGCCTGCTGTGCTGGCCTGCCCCTGGGGAATGTGGAGACGACAATTGAGACATGGTGTTGTGCACCTGTAATCCCAGCTCTTGGGAGGGAAAACAGGAGGATCACTAGGAGTCCTCAATCTAGTAGTGAGACCCTGAACATCCTGTAGACCCTTCCCTAAAACACAAAATAAATAAATAAATAAATAAATAAATAAATAAAATTTATTCTTTCAAAGTTCAAATATTTTAACGCTGTAAATCATAAATTTAAAAAACATTTGTGTAGTGAAAAATCTTTTTTTTGTTTTTGTACGAAGAGGTCACACTTGAAAAAAATAACTTACTTTCTACTTCTTGCCTCTGTGTGTTGTACACAGATTTGGGTGCCAGGAAGAGCAGGAAGTGGATTGGTTGGCTGGCTGGGTGACTGAGCTGCAGATGAATCCCAGGCCTCGCGCGTGCTGGGGGAGGGCTGTCCCGTGGAGCCGCCCGCCGGGCCAGAAGTGGGGTCTCTCAGGAAGGAAGGGCTCCTTCCCATCCCCTCTCTGCGGTACTCCACAAATCAGTGGCCCCTCTGCGTTATTTCTAGTTGTATCGATAGATAATAATAAATGACAAAGATGATTTTTAAATATTCATTTTACTTACTTTTTTATGATTGCAGCATATAATGATTGTATTCATTATGGGAGTTGGTACATGTACCTAGCACATCTTTTTTTTTTTTTTTATTTTTATTTATGTGTGTGTGTGTGTGTGTGTGTGTGTGGCCAGCTCAGCCCACCAGGGGGCGGGGCTGGCTGGCATGTGGTGCTGGGGGATTGAATCGCGGTCCCTGTGCTTTGCTAAGTTTGTTGTAAGTAGGTGCTTTAGACCACTGAGCCATCTCACCAGCCCCACCTAGCACATCTTAATTCTGGGTTTTGTCCCCTACCTCTCCTACCCTCCCCGCCCCTTCCAAGTCTTGGTCCCTTTCCATTTGTGAAAGCGCTATTTCCATTTTTTTCTTCAGTTCCTTTTTCACATCCCAATTCCTTCCACTTCTTCCTCTTCCATCTTTTGATACCTCTCTCAGTTGAAAAAGATCTCCCTACTTCTTATTATCTGTCTTTTATTTTACTCTTTTTTTTTTTTTTTTTTTTTTTTTTTTTTTTTTTTTTTTTTTTTTTTTTGCGGAACCAGGGATTTAACTCAGGCCCTTGCGCTTGCCAGGGAAGTGCTTATTCCATGAGCCATCTCCCCGGCCCCCTTTATTTTACTCTATATTTACATTTTTTTCATTTTCATATAAGAGAAATGATGAGCTATTGTGCATCTTACTTATTTCCCTTAATATTATGGTCTCAAGGTGCATCCATTTACCTACAAATGCCTTTCTGTGGCAGGATAGTACTCCATTGCATATACATACTCTAATTTCTTTATCCATTCATGTATGTTGGTGGGAATACAGATTACTCCTAAGACTTAGCTATTATAAACTGTGCTGCTATAAACGAGCATGCATATATCACTGTAGTATTATTTTATTAACTCTTTTGGAAAGATAACTAGTGGAGGAATAGCTGAATCAAATGGAATTTCTGGTTTTAGTTTTATGAGGAATTTCTGTACTCATTTGCATAGTGGCTTTGCTAGTTTACATTCTCGCCAACAACATCGAAGGGTTCCTTTTTCCTTGTAGCCTCACCAGCACTCATTATTTGATGTGTGTGTGTGTGTGTGTGTGTGTGTGTGTGTGTGTGTAACCGGGGATTGAACTCAGGGCCTTGTGTTTGCCAGGGAAATGCTTATTCTACTGAGCCATCTCCCCTGCCCCTAAAAGCTTATTTTTTCAAAAAAGAAATTGATTTCTTGATAGCCATTCTTTCTGTAAAAAATGGAATCTCAGTATATATTGTATTGTATTTTTTGATGCAGGGACTCTGTGTGGTTCGGGCTGGCCTTGAACTCCTGTTGTAGTCCAGGTTGGTCTTGAACTCAGGGTAACCCTGCTTCCTCAGCCTCTAGCAGGGATTAGAACTGCCCACCACCATACACAGCTCTCAGTGTGGTTTTAATTTGCATTTCTCTAGTGGGAAGTGATGTTTAGCATTTTCTCATGTATTTATTTGCTTTTGCTACTTCTTCTGAGAAGTGTCTCTTCATTTTGGCTGCCCATAGTTTGATAGGGTCTTTTAGGGATTTTTTTTGGGGGGGGACTAAGATTCTTGAGAGCTCTGTATACTCTAGATGTTAGTCCCCTGCCTGAGGAGTAGCTGCCAAGTTTTTCCCCATTCTGTACATTGTCTGTGCTCTCCGCTGCTTCCCTTGCTGTGCAGAAGCTATTTAATTTGATATGATCCTATGCTGATGCTGGTATTTTTCATGTTTTGGGGGTTCTGTTCAGCAAATCCTTGCCTATACCTGTGTCGTGTGTGTGTGTGTGTGTGTGTGTGTGTGTGTGTGTGTGTATTTAGGGCAGGGTCTACAGGGTCTCAGTGTGTAGACTGGACTCGGAGTGACCCTCCTGTTTGTAACCTCCCCTGTGCTGGGATTATAGGGGCATACCACCACGCCCAGCCTCAATCGGCTCAGCGCACCCTGGGGGCGTGGCCAGCATGGCAGACTGGGGATTGAACCCTGGGCTCTGCCCTGCATCTGCCTAAGCAGGCACTTTAATGTGTCTTTAGTTACTTTTAATGAGGGTTAACTTTCCTTCATGAGATCAGAACTGGATCAAACTGTTGCCAGTCTTGAAACTTCAACTGGAAAAGCAGGGTAAGATCACTGAGATGTATTCCCAACATCATTAGTTTCAAATTCTTTACTTCCCATTTTAACTGGCCCTAGAGGAAAAAGTAGCATTTATAGATTCTATCTCAGATCCACATTTTCATTGACTGAGAAGTGGTAGTAAGAGGAGAAGCAAGAATTTTAATTCTTCATGTGTACAGTTGACCCTGAATGTGTGAAGAGTGATTTTCTTATAGAAGTCTTCAAGCTGGGTCACTAACTTAATCTAGGATGTGATACACAGGCACCGCTGGCCCCTCTCAGCATGGGTCCTAGTCCTAGCAGCAACACTGTCTGTGGACATCACCAAGGGACCTGCGTGCTCCCACTCACCTTGTAACACGAGGACACAGGGACTACTTTACATTCAATGTTGTTCTTAATACTTTCAATCCTGGGGGATCTATTTTTTGTCTCCATGTTTTATTTTCTACCCATTGATAGTAGTAACCCCTTCATTCATTTATGCAGTTTGGTAACTTAATGCAGGAAAACAGCCTGTGGATGTTTGCCAGCTGGAGAGCCAGATCCCCCAGGCAGGCAGAGTCTGGGCAAGATTCGTACTCTTGGGGCCTGGTTTTTGTTGGTTTGGGAATTCTCTTTTGTGAGTACATTCAGAGGATACTGTGCTTCGAAGACTGGTTTATACTAACAAATGAATACAAGAATAGTGCATGAAGTTGAGATAGTGAGTTTATTGAGTTATAAGAGCTGGAGAACCAAGCTGACCTTGCATTCGTGGCCAGCTTGCCCTGGTATTTACTCCCTTTTTATGGGCATAATTGGATACAGTGCGAGAATAATTCCCTTAGTCCCTCTTCCCCTTTCCTGAGTGGTTCACAACTTACCCTCCTTGCCTTTTCATCTTGGGTCTCTGCTTACTTTTATTTATTTATTTTTTAAAATTTATTGTAGAGGGGCTGGGGAGATGGCTCAGTAGGATAAGTGCTTGACTGGCAAACACAAGGATCTGAGTTCAATCCCTGGTTCCACCAAAAAAAGAAAAAAAATTATTGTAGAACAGGGTGTACAGGGTCTCGTTATGTAGACTGGACTTGTAATGATCCTCCTGTTTCAGCCTACCAAGTGCTGGGATTACAGGGCGCCACCACACCTAGTCTCATTTACCATCTTAGTGTGTCCCAGAGGCAGGGCCAGCACAGCATGCCAGGGATCGAATCCCGGTCCCTGTGCTCTGCCTAAGCAGGCACTTTAGTCCACTGAGCTATCTGGCTGGCCCTCTCTCAGTTTATGTACATTGGAGTTAGTTGTGAACATGGTTATTATTATTATTATTATTGTTAATATTTTTAAATGTATTTGGTTGTTGCAAGGTCTCACTATGCAGCTTGGACTCGTGGTGATCCTCCTCCTTTCAGCCTCCCCAGCTGTGGGATTGCAGACATGCGCCA